CATCTACTTGGTACCCAGACAGTCCCAGGTTCAATCCCTGGCATCTCCCATCAAAAGGACCAGGCAGTAGGTGACGTGAAAGACCTTGATCTGAGACACTGGCTCAGTGGTAGAGCATCTGCTTGGCACGCAGAAGGTCCCAGGTTCAATCCCCGGCATCTCCAGTTAAAAGGACCAGGCAGGAGGTGATGGGAAAGACCTTGACCTGAGACCCTGGCTCAGTGGGAGAGCATCTGCTTGGCGTGCAGAAGGTCCCAGGTTCAAGCCCCAGCATCTCCAGTTAAAAGGATCAGGTGGTAGATGATGGGAAAGACCTTGATTTGGGACCCTGGCTCGGTGCCGGAGCATCTGCTTGGCATGCAGAAGCTCCCCGGTTCAATCCCCGGAATCACCAGTTAAAAAGGACCAGGCAGCAGGCGATGTGAAAGACCTCAGCCTGAGACCATGGAGAGCCGCCGGCGGTCTGAGTAGACAATACTAACCACGATGGACCGAGGGTCTGATTCAGTAGAAGGCAGATTCGTGTGTGTTTGTTCGAGGACGAAAATTCCGAGCCACCGACGTGCCTATTTCCAGCCTAGGAACGGCAACGTTGTCCCCGATAGATAAACCGGAGCTGCTCTCCCCTCACCTCGGCCGTTGATTTTGATCTTCATGGGCAGCTGCCGCGCCATGCTGAACAGGTTGCGCTGGAGGGCCTGCTGGACGAACCGCTGCTCCTCCTCCGTCATCCGCGAGACCTTCTCGGGGGGCTCCCCGGACTCCAGCCGCTCCCTCAGCTGCTCCAGAGTGGCCGTCCTGGCCGCTAGGGTGGCCTGCTGGTTAGCCAGGGTCACGGGCATGGCAACGCGATTTGGCGTGGACACGGTCACGGGGATACCATCGCCTGGAAAAAAAAAACAAGAGAGGGTTCTCAAGATCTCAGCCGGGCGCCTTCCTCAAGCCAGAGACTTCCCGAAGGCTTAAAAAGAAATAAAGGAGGGGTGCTACGTCACTCTAAGGGTGCATAGATGTTATCTCCTTGAATGGGATGCCTCTCTGTTTCTTAAACTGGGAGTTGCCCTTTGACCCCCTTCTCCCTTTGTCCTCTCCCTGGCTTCACATGGCCTTCCATGGAGACTCATGTCCTCAGACAATGCCCTCAGACTCCCACACACATTTCCCTGCAGGCATGGCCTTAACTTCAATAATCCCCAACTTTTGGAGCCTGTGGGCACCTTTGGGATTCCGACCCGGTGTGTTGGGAGCAGCCACAAAATGGCTGCCGGAGGAGGCGGAGCCAGCCAACACTGTTTAGCTTCCGAGATCTGACGAGATCAGGGCACTGCAGTCTACTGCCATGATCATGCTATCCTGGCTGCTTCCTCCCTTCATTTACTACATTTCCCCGGTCGCTCAAAGCCACCTCGCGATAAAATGAGCACACGAAAGCTGAGTAATAACTCCGTACGTCAAAACGTTAACTTCCGGAGCGCGGAAGCAACGAGACCGCTTCCTCCCCTCTCCGGAACTGGCGGAGGGAGGGGTTTGCAGCCACATCTCGCGCCCTGACCCACCGGCTCTGCACCCCTGGCCCTCGCCGACGGGACAGTCTGCCAGCCACCTGCTCCCCCTCGGCACGCCAAAGGGCAACGGAAACGCCAAGTTACTAGGCTGACCTTTCCTGAGAGCTGCTGCCGGAGACAGGTGAGGGTTGCTGGTTGTGCCGCTGGGGGCAAGGCTGACGACGGGGAAGCGGATCTTGGGGGGGCACAGGAGCGAAGGCGGGCCCCCCGTGGCAGCCGGGGAGTAGCCGAACAAGGAGGAGCTGTAGCTGGGCCGGCGGCCTTCCCGCCGGTTGCCGTCGATGGCGGCCTGCAGTTCCGCAGGGGAGCTTAAGGACTTCTTCTCACATTCGTAGGCATAGAGGTACTTCATATACCTAGAGGGAAAATGGGGAAGCATAAGTACCCGAGCTACCCTCTGACCCCTCATCTTTTTGTCCTCTCCCTCACCACACATGGCCTTCCTCTTGTAGACCCTCACCACACATGGCCTTCCTCCTGTAGAGAAAATGCCCTCATACTCCCACACACATGATGCCAAACAAGTTGGCCATTTGTGTTAGGGGGGAGAAGAGTAGGAGATTGGATTTATACCCCGCCCTTCACTACCTGAAGGAGTCTCAGACATCCTGTGAAGTAGGTGGGGCAGAGAGAGCT